CTGCCAGCCTTCTGGATCAAAAGCTCTCAAAAAAGCCCTCATTCTGATTTTCCAAAACAAGTAGTTACTCCCATCAAAGGTAGGAGCATGATGCAGGTTTTGACCATAAGTTAACTCCGCTGGCTTTGGAAGAGGTTGAGTGAAAGTGGAACAAAATGCCATGAAAGCACTATCCCAGTCTTCTCCAGATTCAGGTTCTTTGGGTTCTTGCTCCGACCCGCTTTCATCATCCCAAGTCACAGTGTAGACTTTCTTTCGATTCTTTTTCGAAGGGCATTCAGGGGCAATGTGACCAAACCCTTGACATTCATAGCACTTGACCCCTTGCCCCTTTACAATCTTCTTTTCAGTTTTTGGAGCAAGTTTTGGTGGAAAAGTTTTGGGTTTATCATTACTCTTGTCTTTTGAAATAGGGTCTCTGAAATTAGGCTTCTTTTTTTTCAATTTTTTTTTAAATTGTTTAATAAACATAGCCGTCATCTCAGACTCTAAATCAAATTCAGTCTCCGGAGTTTTTGCAGACTCATGAGCACTAGTGAAAGCCACACTTTCTTTTTGTTTTTTCTTTGAAATCCGGTGTTTGATGCCACAGGTCAATGTTACTAATGATGGCAGAGTGACAAGTGAGATCATTAGTAGTAACAATCTTTAGCTTCCGGGATTTTTTCCCCGAGTGTGAAACAGGAATTCACGATATCACTAAGTTTTGCATAGAAATCATCAAACGTCTCCTCATCGTGCATAAAAAGGGTTTCAAAGGATGAGGTGAGACGTTGAAGTTTTGACCTTTTGACAGAAGTAGTACCTTCGTGAATTGTTTCAAGAATGTCCCAAGCCTCTTTTGCTACCTCACACGTGCAGATACGACAAAATTCTTCAGGTGTGACGGAGCAAAATAGGGAATTGAGAGCCTTACTGTTCCAACTCGAGTTTTGGTAATCAGTAGTGTCCCATTTATCAAGGGGTTTAGGAATATCAACACCATCAATGATGACAGTAGGTTCACTCCACCCATAGATTACGCTGTGCCAAACTTTCTCATCGATGGATTTTAAAAACGCTCTCATACGAGCTTTCCAGTAAGAATAGTTTGTACCATCGAGTAAAGGAGGTCTATGGGTCGAGTTACCTTCACGAATAGAATCCATATCACTAGTCACACAAAATCAAACTCCTATATTTTTTTAAAAAAAGAGTGACCTGCTCTGATACCAATTGAAAATCCTAAGTGATTCGTGATTAGATCAAGATTAAAATATTCCAAATCCCAAGTATCCAAAACATACAATCTAAACCAACAAGCACTTCCGAAAGTGATTTAGATTGTTAGTTTTTCGGAATAAACAATAAATTGACACAAACGATTTTTTACGTGGAAAAAATCACAATTGAAGAACCTTCAATTGTAATAAAAAACCACAGGCGAAACGCCACTAATCAATCCACTACTGAAGTAAGAAAGATTACAAAGATAACATACAAATTATCCCATTCAGTCAATTTGTCTTCGAATCTTCTGTAACTCTTTCACCACGCTTTCGTCTCGGAACTGATCAATCTTGAAGTTGAATCCACAACTTCACTTGTCGAATGAACGACTACGTACAGAATCAAACTCCTTTTGATACTCTACGCTTGAATCTTCAGAATCCACCGAAGAGATCTCTCTCTTGAATTTAAAGTAACCAACTCCTTGATGTATGTGTTTTAGATCATGATTGAAGAACTCTTCTCAAACATCAAGGAAAACTCACAAAAAAACCTCAGAACCAAACTTCCAACCAAGCCCTAGGACTCTTGAATAAGATCTAAGAAAAGTAGTCCTAAAAACAACCTAAACAGATATAAATAGGAATCCTGAGTCCGCGATCTCCGCTCGAGCGGCCAACATCCCGCTCGAGCGTCTTCAGCAAAATCTGCGAGCGACAAAACAGAGTTCCGCTCGAGCGCTTGATGGCCCGCTCGAGCGCGAAATCATGCCTTCCAGTATTTTTACAGACCTGTCAAAATACTGAGAGACTACAATATCCGCTCGAGCGCCAATGGTCCCGCTCGAGCGGGAAGAACAAAAAACACAGGAAAATTACAACTTGTTCAACACAATGTTTTGTACCCGGATTTGACAATCAAGGGACCTAACAGACACAAATTTAGAACCACTGTTAATGACTTCTTTACTAATAAATTGTTAGTTAGTTTGGACAAAATTGGGATTTGATAGGTTGGCTTCTTTACTTTGCTTCCTTTATTGGCATTCGTAAAAATACCAAACAAGCCAGTGAATAGAGAATTGGGCAATCGAAAAAATTTGAATATCAGCAACGTATCAAACTGTAATATACAATTAAAAATAGACCCTTGGATGTTGCTAGTGGTTGCTTGATTTGGTGGCTGCTACTAATGTTTGGCTTTATCAGCTGATTCAGTCCAAATGCCAACCTGTTGGTTGCTTGCTTACATGTTCTAAGCCCTTTAGATGTCTTCAAGTATATCTAATCTTAGAGATCAACTTGTAGTGCTTAAAGCACCAAGAACTATGCAGAGCTTGTTTTGTTGGGTTTAAAAGAAAACATAAAACAGAGGAAGAAAATAGAGAGGGTGGGTTCCATCATAATGCAAAATTTTTTTTTGCTGGTATGGAGCGGGTTTCTTTGCTACCTTTGTTGGGTTTAAAAGAAAACATAAAACAGAGGAAGAAAACAGAGAGGGGGATTTTATGTCTAGATCTTGCTTATCCTCCTATTCTAATACTCCTTACCACTACTACTACACAATTAAATAGAGAAATTCATCGTGTGATTGGAAGGTATCGTAAGACAAATAGATATTGAATATTCTTAGCAGAGGATTCAGATTCTCACCAAATTTAATAATGTCATGTGAGGGCTCACAAAGATACCTCGTTGACCTCCCCTAGAGGAATGGAGTTGAGAGTGTAGTGGCTGTGCAAGTGGGGAGGGTCCTCAAATGTACATATACATATAATGTGATCATTGGCTTTGGCTTTAAATTATTGACATTTGAAGGGACTTGATTTCCTCTGTACAATGTGCTTGCAAATGCAAAGAACAATTGCCTTAAGAGTTAGAGAGCACCACATAGAGAGAGAGAGAGAGCATGTGAAATATTTCTTCCAATCCCACTTTTGTTTTCCCTGTCATCAGTGTTTTTGCCTTTTGGACTTTGTTGGGTCATCTCAAGCTCACCTTCTCTTGCACTTGAAAAGAAAGAAAGACTAGTAACACCTTTTGTTACTTGTGAGAAAAATCAAAGGGTTGAAAAAGATTATTATGATCAGTTGCTTTATGACTATACAAACTATTGAAATGAAAACACAATATGAATCTTGAAGGCTTGTGACTAGGGATCATGTGGCATTGTACAAGTGATTTGGTATCGAAGATTTCATAATGCATTTGACAATAAAAATTGTGCAATTTATAAATTTTTGAATCTTGAATTTGTAGAGAGAAAAGATAGAAAAAGAAACTAAATTGAAAGAATTTTTTTAAAAAAAATCCTTTTTGGGTAAGGTTAGGAGAAAATGAGATTAAAATGAATGGATGTCAAAAAAAATGTTGTTGTGGGAAATTTTATGTCTAGATCTTGCTTATCCTCCTATTCTTGCAAATATAATCTTCAATTTCATTGTAATCTTTATTTTTTGATATGTAAGCCACATACTTACCACAAAAAAAATAAAATAAACAAGACTTGTCGAGAATTATTTGTAGTCTAAATTTTCTTTATAGATTTTAAAATTGAAAATAATACTTATGCTCATTCAATTATTTTTATTGCAAGAAATAAGACAATATGAAAGTATTAAACAATGGATGTCATTTCTCGATTTGAACATTTTTCATGGAGGTTTTTATAAAATGGCGTCATGAGTAATACTTTTGAGTACTATTGTTATGTGACAAGTTTATCTTTTGGATTATGGTGTGGGCTATTAGTTTGCTAGAAACATTGGATCTTTTTTGTATTACAGGGTTATGTAATGAACCTTTTAATTAAGTTATTTTTGGATATTTTGGGATTATGAAAATACAGACTTTTTTACCTTTTACAATTATTGAGTATTGAGCCATTAGAATAAAATAGTGTTGTTATAGATATATAATGTGAGCAGGGATAAGTGAGAGACAACCATTAATGGTTAGCAAATCATTGAAAATTTTAAGCTATATATTATTGGTAATTGAATAGTAAACACAGCCTATAATTTCTTGCTGGTGTTGTTGGTGCATGCTTTGGCAGGTTGTTGGCTTTTTTGTTGGATGTTGTTGTTTGCTTTGATGCCTGGTGTCATTGCCGCTAGCATGTGAACAGGATGGTTTTCGCTGTCTAGATTGTTTTCTTTTTTTTTTTGTGCTTTGGTTTATGTGTCTTTGTATAGTTGGTTGGCTCCTACGATATACCCATTGTATCTTGTAGTTTTTTGTCGTTTTATTTATGACTTATTCACCCTCCCGCCCCCAAAAAAAAAAAAACGTAGCCTACAACCATGGTTAATAACCGTCGCTGTAAATAAAATTCAAAACGAATTCTATGGCTATAGCGATAGTGTAAAACTGATGGAATACAGTCAAAATATAGCAGCGGTTCACAAAATGTCGCAAAAGTGAAGGATATAGCGGCAGTTGACCTGTTGCTATAAAGTTAGCAAGTAATTGGTAAATTCAAGATATAGCGACATTTATAACTGTCACTACATCAACCGTCGCAATAAAAATAACTATACCAGCATTTGTAGAAAACATCACTATAAGGATATGCCGATGGGGCTATTGCAACGGTTTGGCCGTCGCTATTGCAACCACGGGTAACGGTGTTCTAGTTTTTAGCGACGGCTTTTCCCGCTTTTAGCGATAGTTTTGGCCACTACTAAATCTTGACTTTTTTGTAGTGGCAATTTAGCTTTGGTGGCATTGGTCTTGTATTTGTTCTTCCACTGAAGGGTCCACACCTTTGGTGGCAGTGCAGTCAATAATACCTTAGAGAATCGCAATCTCATCATCAACACTCCATAGCCTCTGAAAAAACACCTTCTTCGAAGCAGAAGTAGTACAAGTAGTAGCAATAGTAGTCTTGCTCAATGTGTCCTCAACCCCATCAGCATTCACATTCACTTTCACTTTCACTGCCTTGGCCTTCTTCGACTCTTGATTCTCTCTCTCAACAACAGGGCATTTGAGGGTGGGGTTAGATATGGGCTTCTTACTCAGTACTGGATTTCTCCTTCTATGGAAATGGCACAAAGTGGAATCTTAGCATGTTATCAACCTTGAACATTGTACTGCTACAATTTTAACAATTTAATTTAATTTGTGTCATCTCTTTAATATTGGAATGAGTACTCAATGTTTGGTTGGTAATTTTCTTACTCCTTCAATGTGTTGAAATACAGTGGCTTGTTCTTCTGGAATTTGATGGAGCAGATACATTGTTTTCCTAGTAACAATTGTTGCCTAGCTTGTGACTTGGTTTTCATGAACTTATTGTTTTCCATTATCTGTTTGTGTTCCCTTAATGCCTACTTTTCATACACTTGCATTTGATTGGGCCTTTAAATTTGAAGCCAATTTTATTTACCTTTAATTAAAAATAGGGATATCTTTTTTTATTTCAACATCAAGTTGTAAAATAATATCTTGCTTGTGGGCAAGCTTGTTTTAAATTATTGTATGCTCAACCAAAATATCTATTGAAAATATCAATGTACTGTTGTGCTGATATTTGGTATTCTACCTGCACATATTATAGCGATCTCGGGTTTACCCTTGTTGTACCGTGATCCGGACATGTGTCCGTGGATGTTGGTAGTTGTTTATTATTGTGTTTACATCCTTTTACTTCGTATTTGAGTTATAGGATGTGTTGGGCAGGTTTGTTACAGGTTGGTTGAGTTTAGAAACCAAAACTAGTTGCCCAGATTTTTGGCCTGTCCGCTCGAGCGGAGGTGTTAGATAGGAATTATATTTAATCTTGTTCCTTATGCAGATAGTATTCGGAGATGGACTTCTGCTTCTCAAGAAAATTGCAAATGTGCCCAATGGTTAAAGGCAAACCGAGAGTTGGAAACAGTGGTATAAAGTGGAACTGCTTGTTAGTCTCACGGAGAATGAAAAGTTAATCTCTTTCTATATCTTGTTTCTGTATGAAAATTTGGGCTAATTTTCATCCATCATTTTTCTAACTACTGATGCATGAATTAGCTCTCCCCTTGTTAATATATAAATTTTTAGCATAAATTCGGTTCCTCAGGTTTAAGATAAAGATGTTATTCACTCTCCTAGTCAACGTGTACTCTCATTTTCAAAGTGCAAGAATTGTAAGTCATAACTATTAAAATTAATTTTATATTATTTTGTTACAAAATAAACTGCAAAAATAATAAACGCAAAGAAAAATATATTTGTTAAAAGGCCATATTTGTTTTACAATTGAATTTTGTTAATGTTCCAAACTAAAATAATTATTAAAAATATGTAAAACATTTAATAACCCTTGAAGACAAAATAAAAAAAATAAAATAATAGTCCATATCTATTGGGTTAAGTGGGCGTACATGGGATTTACAAATTTATTAGGATTGATTTTGGGATGGGCACATTAGGACCAATGTTCCGTTGATCTGCTATGACCAATCCCAATAGACAATCACCTGGGAAATATAGCGACCTCGGTCTTTTCCCATTTGATTATTGTATCCGGACTGTGTCACACTGTTTGGGGAAAACATACGTTTAAATATTGTTTGGTTGTATCGAAAAAACATGAGTAGAATGGCTCAAACAATAGAAGAGGAATTAATGACCACGATCAGTAATTACAAGAATCACCGAGTATATTTTGTAAATGTTTCCCTAAATATTATAAATTGAAGATGCGAAAGTTGATTTTCAAGAAATTCAAAATTAAAAGATAAATTCAAATAGTTGTGGCTATAAAATAAAATACAAATAGTTGGTCGTATTAACGAATGATGCATTAATGACTTTAGCAAAATAGTGTCCTTTTGATACAGAAGCTTGCTTTTTTGATACAATGAGTAGTCACTTCGAAGTGACGATATCGCTATCACAAAATGGTGTTTTCAAAAAATTATAAATTCAATCATAAAATCAAATGGAGAAGGATAGAAGATAAAATGTTATAATGGTTCGTGACTTGTCTACATGCAGTGATTTGTCAAGTCGTGTAGTGATCCATACAAAATTACTCAATGATGCAGTGACTTTAACAAACTTATTAAATTCATCCCGCTATGAATTGGTCAAGTTCACATGGACACAATAAACTTCGTACGAAGGCTTGCTTTTTTGATACAATGAGTAGTCACTTCGAAGTTACGATTTCAGTACAAAATGGTGTTTTTAAAAAATTAGCAATTAAAGCATAAAATCAAACAGAGGAGGGTGTAAGATAAAATGCTATAATGGTTCATGACTTGTCAACATGTAGTGACTTGCCAAGTCGTGCAATGATCCGTCCACATAACTCGGTGATGCAGTGACTTTAACAGACTTAATAAATAATTGAAGTAGTTTGTAGTAGCATTTCAGACACCCCTCATCCCACAATGACATGCTCAATTGACATGGCTATTGTAACTTCGAACAAAGTTTTGTTTCTTTGTTACAGTGAGTAGTCACATCGAATAGGCAAGATAAGTACAAATTGGCATTTCCAGAAATTAACAAATTAAAGAATAAAATCAAATGGAGTTGGCTACAAGAGTGACTAATAATGGTTGATCGTATTAACCAATAATGCATTACTTACTTTTGCAGGATTGTGTAATTTTGAATACTCATTCACCTATCAACTGGAGCAGTGATTTGTCAAAATAATTAGATGTTCAGTGACTTTGTTAGACATAATAAATAATCAAAATAATTATAGTTGCCTTTCTAACACCCCTCTCCCTTTTTTATTAAATTGACAAAGTCACGTGGCAACCGTGATTGCCCAACGTGACTTTGGGTAGAGGCTTTAATTTTCTTTGTTTTTTCTTTACGGTGACAACTCATCTCTTGTTGGTATATGTGGGATTGTCATGTGATGTAACTTTGTGCAGAGGCTTTTATTTTCTTTGTTTTTTTCCTTATAATGTCTTTCTTAGCTCGTGTTGGAAATATGACATATGTGTCATGTCATCCTTTCTAAGTGACATAAATACGAGCACATGGCAATAGTGTTCATAAACAACTATATACAGGAGTGAAGGTAAAGACACAACCTTACAACTCAGTTCGCCCTACGAAACTATCATTGATTTATTAACAAAAAATCACATGGCTACACAATTCATGGCAGGGAGTAGGAATCGCAGAGGTGGTAAGAACTTGCAAAGAGGTGAGAATTCACAACGTGGAGAGGAAGGGGAAGGGGACATGGCGATGCTGATGATGAAACAATAGAACCTTTTTTAGATTATGCGTGTGGTTATTGTGATAGGTTTGGGAAACGACATTTTATGATGCCCGAGTATTATTGAGTTGAAGGAGGTTCATGTCTGGATCCATCTGACAATCAAACAGGATATGGTTTAGCAGACACTACTTTTTTCAAGTGGCCCGCACTATTTATAGAGCAAGTACAAATGGGAAGATTATGTCGAAAAAATCGGCTATAGGTGCTGAAAGCACGTTCTGTGGAGATCCGAAAGGAAAATCCTGATAATGTTGATCGATTATGTGAAAGACTACGACATGAGATTTCTCAAATGCACCGGTTAGCCCGCAATATGCAACTATATATAATTAAGAAGGATGCCCAAAAGAACGGAACATAACCAAATGCTGAAGCTATCAAGGCTATTATGGAGGATCCTACACTTGTCTCTGACCCTGAGCTTTCAGATTATTCGAACTCTGAGATTGCCGATTTCAGCGCAGATTAGGTGTTTATGTTTGTACTAAATTATATTAGGTTCTCCATAATTATGTAGTGTGTGTGTGTGTTAAATTAAGTATTTCGGTAATGAGTTTGTCACATTTTTTGTCTAATATTTGTCTGTGTAACTGTTAATTGCTGTAATCGTAGTTTTATGCTTATGTATTGTGTGTGTTAAGTTTAGTGTGTCCACAATTTACTTTTGTGGGAAACTTATGTTTTAACTAGCTATGTAACTCTAAAGTGTTACATTTGCAACTTTAGTTATGTTGTTTTTCTGCCCGTATGAGTAATTAGTAAATTAGTTACTTTGTATATCCTGTATTAAGTTTTATCAAAAAAATGTTGACAATAAATATTTAAGGGGAAAAAAACGATTTCTGAACTCGTTTATCTGTTCAACGGTGACAATCCAAAAATGTAATCATTATTCATTGAATATAAAAAATAACATATTCATTCTTACGAAAAATAGACTAGAAATTGAATATAACAAATAACCTATCTATTCATTCATTCATTGCACAACATTATTCTTAGAAAATAAGCAAAACCAATTCAATCACAGTAACATCAACTCCAACCAAATATTTTCATTACATAAGTTTCTGTCCATAATCATACACCTACTTAGATACAAGTTACATGATGAAGCAAAAACGAAAAAAACAAATTATTGATAAAAAGAGGGTAAGTGTTGAAAACCTTAAAAGAACACATTGTACTTATGATATAATTGATAATTGAGTGAATATTATTTCTAAATCTGAAAGGATTTCAATGTCATTTATACTTTTAAATAATTAAGAATTGCATGCACCTCCCTCACTTGTGTACTTCCCTACTAACATGAACAACCTAAAAATCACATAAGTCTAAATTGACAATGATCAGCCTATCCTTGAAGAAGGTAACTGCTATTTATTGGCAACCAAAAAATAAAGGGTTCAAATAAGAAGAAATTATTATTATTCATGGTTTTAGGGAAATACTAGAAACTATGGAGTGACATTTGTCTACTTGTCTGCCAAAATATAGCAAAAAAATATAAAGTAATACATGCTTCAACTAAAACGAACATTAATCAGCCAATAGCTATGTCGTGAAGTTAATATTAAATTTCTTCAATAGTAGGTGACAAGAATTAAATATAGAAATAGAAACACCTTATAATAATATAGCATAGAGAATGAAAGCAAACCCATCACAAGAAATTCCACAATCCAATCTACTTATGTACACCATTACAATTGTCAAACATACACTATTTCAATTGTCAAACATTGATCACTATTCAAAAAGAACCTTCATTGAATTGTTGGCACAATTGCTTAAACAAATCA